GTCAGGCAAACTTCCTTAATTTTTTTTCAGAAGAATTAGCATATAATGGTGGAACTTCTCAGGCAAAAACAGCTGACCTGTTAAAATGGATGAAGTAAGACCATGTTGAAATCATTCCTTTTTCTGTCTTGGCTATATTGTTTCTTTCTTTTTCCCTCTGTGTATTGCTTTCATTAAAGACTTTGTCTTGAGCATCTTTTCTTCTCTATAGTAGAAAGTTCCTGAGTATATTTACAGACTTTTTCGACTCTGTTCTTGCTTTGTCCTTTCTTAACTTCAGTTCTTCTCTTTCATAACTAAGGCAGTAGCACAGAGCTCCTCATAAAAAACCCTCTTGTTTAGTTGCTTTGTATTGGGATTACATGCCAAAGAAAGGAGGTCTGCCTTTTCAGGTTCATCATCAAAATGCTTAATAGTAAAGGATGCGAATGTTCTTTAGAAAGATCTGTAGAATCACCAACTGATAGTCATTATTGCTTGTACAATATTTGTATGGACTGTTAAGAGCTTTACAATTTGTTTAGTAAAAATAAATGACCACAGAACTGTGCAGTAAAAATCATAAATTACCCACTGTTTATTGGTGGTCAGGATTTGAAAGGACCCGCATAATATTCATGAGAGACATTTGTTTCTGTGATCTCTCCTATACCTTTTCACTATCAGATTGGCAAGCTATAAGAATAGTCTGCGTAACATATTTGCTAATCTGTCCATTAATGAATAGACCTTCAGATACGATATAGAATTTGTGGTGGTATGTGTTTTTAGTAGCTAAATAATGCTGTACAGCCTGCTGTACTGACCACATACAATTCTGTGAAGGCACAATTCATTTTTGCAACAATGGAAGTCTGAGTTCTGGTAGTACATGGAAGAGAACATAATTAGAGAAAGGCTCGACAATGTCAGGACCATGCCCAGGAAGAGACCCATGTAACAAATAACCAAAAACAAAAGGTTTTACGAAAAGGTGAAGGATGAATCAGAAGATTCCTTCTTTATTTCTGAAATCGGTCCTTCATGCCATACTTTAACCAAGTAGTTACTTGGTTAAAATAGTGTTTATTAGGAATATTAAAGACTTCTATTTTAAGCTGTTTTACATAATATTGATCTACTCTTCTCCTTTTGTCTTACATTTTTGTATCTCTTATTTTGTTCTGTTTCCTAGGTATTTCTTTTTCTTGGCCCATTTATCTTAGCATCTATCTTGTAGTTTCTAACATGTAATGAGTAGCTGAATTTTCTACCAGCATTCTAGTCCATTTCTACTTGCCCTTGGATGAGAGATTTGGAAATATCTAATCACACAGTGTTAACTTGCCTGCAGACATTGATATTTTCATGGAAAGTAATTGCTCACTTCAGTGAGTGTTAATGCATGAACTTTTTGTATTCCAGAAAGAACCTTTTACATTTGAGACCAAAAATTGTGCCAATAGTAATAAATAGTCGCTAAATTCTTCAACAGTAATTTTTCATGTTTTCCAAATACTTGTTCAAAATAATAAGCTATTATAGAGATACAAGGGCAAACTACCTTCAGATCAGTGGAGTTACATTTGGATTAGCCTTGTCTACACAACTTAGTCAAATCTGTACTAAAAGCATTTTTGAGATCAAGGAAATCATGTAATTGCAAGCCTTAAAATATCAAGGTTTTTTTTTTTTCACTATATGGCAGGGTTTTTTTTCTTTTTACTGCGTGTCTTCTATAAACAATTGTATTAAGGAGGAAGTTCGTAACACTGACTGAGAAGTTCCTGTCCATCTTTCCATGGGAGATGAGAAAAGGAAGATAGCGTTTTATGCAGTTCACGAAATACACTGTTATAGCCTCCTACATCTTAGGGATCTCACTGGGAAGCTTGAGCCTGTTCTATCTATCTGCAAGGCATTCCGTCCTTTCCTAAATTTGAAGATGGCAGACTGTCAAAACCTACTTAAAACTCTGTCCTCTCTCCTCAGGAAAAAGACTTGTTTCCAAGGCAATTTATTTTGTGTAGGTACTGCTAGATTGTCAAAAGCATACAAATTAAAATTTTAGAAGGCAGTTAAACAGGTTATAATTCTCTCTTTGAAAGTTAAAAATTATTCTGCCTTTTGTTCATGAATGGAGTCAATTCCTTTATATTTTAAGGAAGGAAGCATGTCGTATTACTACATTTTAATTAGGTAATACCACTCAGCTCTGATAACACAAAATATGTAATATCTGTTCTGACTGCATATGCATAGGTGATTTAATTATTGTGTTTGTCCAGGTTGGATTCTTCTATTTTACTTCAACAATACCAAATGCTTTTAAAATTCAAATCAGTTTGATTTATCATAAACTGAAGTGTAGTTTTACGTGGGCAAATACAAAGAAATAAACAATGCAAAAATGTACAATATCCATTTGAAAATAATAGTATTTTGTTCAGATGATAGATGCTCTTTTGCGGGTCTCTTTTACTGTCTTTCTGTAGATATGCCCCTGCATGAAAATTAATTGGATAATTTTTATCTAGAGGGAGTAAATTTCAGTTTACTACACAGCAACAGGGATTTCAACTAGTTGGTCTCTATGTATGTGTAACTCTGGCTGAAATGTTGGCTATTCAGCACATTTTCAGAAAGTGGCCATAGGCAAGTTAAATTTTATATTTCTTAGAAAATTTAATCAAATTATTTTTATACCTCAGTATCAGCGTATTGGAATGAGATTCAAGATGCTTTATAAATAATCTATAAAGGTTTGAAGAAAATTCAAATGTAAGCATGTGTTTTATTTGATAGGTTTATCTGTTTAATAATTGTATGTTAAATGTGCATTTTGCTATTTACCTCACAGAATGTGGATATAGTTATACATCTAATTTTTTCATGGAGCTATTTCCATTGCATATGCAAATACAGTAACTGCAAGCACAAATTACCATAATTGGCCATTTTATGTGCAATTATCTGATTTTCATACATAATCATGGTAATTGTACATGGAACTAGACTGCAGTTGACTATTCATTTCTATGCAGTTCTGTCCATGAAATATTGAAAATTTGTGCTTTTGTAAAGAAACTCTAATAAACTCTACAAATAAATTCTAATAAACTATGCTTGTGATTTGGGGTATACCACTACATAAAATTGCTTTGCTCTGGCTTGTATAAAAGAGGTATTAGAAATCACTAGAGCACAGAAAGCATATCACAGGTGGTTGATAGATCATTGATGCAGACATGTAGGACTGTGATAGTACATATCTTTTTGCTTGCTCTATGTAATGGATCATGGTCTATGTATGAGGTCTATGTAATAGAGGAATGACCATGGTGGTGGATTGAATAATGCACAATGATTCACTTATGCACCAGTTACAGAATCACAGAAACACAGAATAGCTGGGGTTGGAAGGGACCTTTGAAGATCATCTTGACCAACCTGCCTGTTCAAACTAGAGCAGGCTGCTCAGGACTGTGTCCGGTTGGGTTTTGCATATCTTCAAGGATGGAGACTCCACAATCTCTCTGGGCAACCTGTTCCAGGGTTCAACCACCCTCACAGTAAAGAAGTGTTTTATTGCGTTCAAGTAGACATCAGGTGATGTCTGCCAGTGTATACTTCTCTCTTTTCTTAGCTGTTCCTACTTTATTTTATGCAGTTCAGCAGGAAACATATTCCAGTCTCTGCGGTCCTCAAACTTATGTGGTGTTGCAGACACCTGAAGACTTTATCTGCAACATTAGTTTATCTGAAGTTATTGATCTGTGTCTTCTGTCTCTCAGGTTCACCTGAGTCATTTTAAATCACAACATGAGATTAAAATGAGAGCAGTCATTTTAAAATCACAAAGCAGAGATTTAAGTGCTTGATTATAAAATTAGAAACACTGTTACAAAAAAAAAAAAGTCCTCTTTTTCCCTTTCTAGATATTACTATGCTACATGGATTTTCTTACCCTAGCTACTTTTACATTTTCAGAACTGTCACAAAATTTTATAAATCATAGAACAGAAGAGGCATTCAATGAGTGTACTTTTAAATTTACAGTATCTAGTCTATTTTAAGTCTTCATAGAGACTACAAAAGATATATTAATAATATAAATGGCAGAAAGAATTCAGAGAGCTCTGTATAAATTATTTCTTCCTCTCTGCCTGAATTTATTCATCTGTTGGGATTGTAGGTGTCCAGGCAAAACTGGAAGAAAACAAAGAAGATACTGCTTATTCCCAATATTTATTAGAAACTAGGTGTATGGATACATTTAACCCACAGAAATGTAGGAAGATTATTATATAGTCTTTGGTGAAAGACAAAGAACCTTGGGATTTTTTTCGGTTTTATAAAGCAAGAGCACATACAACCCACAGCATACAAATATTGGTATGCCTCAAAATGCGCTTATACATCTTCCTGGAGACCTGGGAATACTACCTGCTTATGTGATAGACAAAGTTTTTCTAATATCTACAGTCTAATATCTATTTTGCCTGCTGCCAAGCTTTGATGGTTGTCTTGATACTAACTTTTATATTGATATAAGATCATATTGATATTGATATAGCCTAATGTTTGATACATTTTCATTTTACAGTTTTATTAATAAACTACTATGATTTAAACTACTATGATTTAAAAACAATTATACTGGCAAGAGGGACGTAAATGTTTGGGTATTTATAAGTGAAGGATCCTGCACTATGATTTCAGGAACAGTATAATCAAGAAAGGTTACAGATTTCAGCATATCATCAAAAGCCGCAACGTTTTTTGGAGTATGTCGTAAGAAATGGATTGGGAACAGCGGTGACACACAGGGTACTGATTTGCTTGATGGCCACAAAGCTGAGGTATTCCTGCATTATTGTGGAATAGGGTGGAGTCATTCTGAAGCTTTTAACATATATTATATTGCATACCCTGCATTTGCAGTAATCTCACAGAGGCAATTTAGAAGCAGAGCAGTTCTGTTCTGTGATTAAACACACAATTTTGTTTTGTTTTAACAGAACAATGAAAATGAAACAGCATTGCATTGTGCAGCTCAATACGGTCATTCAGAAGTAGTTGCTGTTCTTTTAGAAGAGTTAACAGACCCTACCATAAGGAACAACAAACTAGAAACACCTCTAGATCTGGCAGCACTTTATGGGCGTCTGCGAGTCGTAAAAATGATCATCAAAGCATATCCAAACTTGATGAACTGTAATACAAGGAAACACACGCCTTTGCATCTTGCTGCACGTAATGGCCACAAAGCTGTTGTACAGGTGCTTCTGGAGGCTGGAATGGATGTCAGCTGCCAAGTTAGTGTACAATTTCTTTTTTCTCTTCTTCCTTTCTCTCTTTCCTTTACCATTAGAATGTGTTTCAAATGAAACAACTCCTTACATTTTTCTTTTAAAATACACTTACATTGACTTTGTTAGAAATGCTGCAAGGTGATATATAAAACAGACGTGTTTTACAACCTAAGTGATGTGTTCCTCCAATGGATATTATATCTCAGGAAAGATTCAGGACTTTAAAGTCAAGCGTATATTTTAATGCTATCTTGAGACATATAGATGTAGATACTCTCATCAACAATCCATATAGATATATGTAACATCATTGGCTTTAATGAAGCTAAGCTGACTTGCTAAAGCTGTGGCCCTTCCTTACTTAATCGGGCATGGAAATCTGAAACAATGTTTGACTGAGATCTTGTTTCCCCAGGGTTATCCCATTCTAAAGACAAAATTATAGCTGTTAATATTTTAGATTTTTCTGCCTTTTTTAATGCTTATTGCAACTGCTGACCCCAACATAGTCACCATTTCCTGCATATAATGTTATGCACAATTAGTTACAATGGTGTAAGCAGGGTAACTTTAAATAAAAGAGACAGCACAGATGGGAACAGATGCAAGTTACAGTAGCAGTAAATTTTACATCCACTTCTTCATAGCAGAAAGGGTCCAAACCTTTAACTGAAGAGGAAGGAGGAACTGATACTGTTATGTATGAAGTTTTCCTTTGTACCTTTTTAATTTCTGTTGGTTTGATTGGCGGCAGTGAGTTTTAGGTTAAAATGTATTTTTATCTTCAGATTTAAAGTAGCTTTCTTGCTGTCTGGGTATAAATAATATTCTTTGAATTAAGGTGGTTTCTGCTTTGTGTATTTTCTAATCAAAAAAAAAAACATAGTTATGTCTATTCTAGATTCGCATCCAGGCATTCTTTATCAATAGATATTCTAAATTTTGACTAAGTTTTCAAACTATTTTAAGCTTTAGATGCATTTTAGTCAAACACCTTGGTACACATCATTCCAATTTATATATAAAAATTACACCTGGATTCTTTGCACTGTACTACTGTAAAAGAATGCAAAGTGGGAAAGAAAAGATTAAAAAATCCAAGCAAAACACAGAAAATATGAACAATGCATTTTAAGATTAAAAATGGATACTGAATCCCTTGAATGCCTTCAAAATGAAAATGTGATAAAATTATTTTACTACTTTTATTAGATCTGTATCTTGTAAGTTAGCACTGTTATTTGCTTCAAACTATTTCAAACTGAAACACGTTTTTATATACTTTGTCTGCTTTTGTATTTGCCTACTATAACGCTTGCATCTACACCTGCAAGAATTTTGGTTTTCTTTTTTTTTTTTGGTAGAAAGTGAGATGCTTGCAAAGGTTCACACAAACAGCTTTCTGTTTCAGCTGTCCTTTACTATTACTGCATCTTCAGTAAGTTAGAGAAGTTTAATGCTAAAGCAACAAATAACAGATGCTTCCAATATATGTTTCTGAATGTATAATTTCTTTCCTATTTCTAAATTTCTTTCCTATCTCTAGCAAATGAATGGGAAAAAAAAAACAGAAGGAAACTAAACTGATGCCTGAATTGATGCATAAGAAATAGAATAAATGAAGAAAAATATTCTATGTCATGGCAACTTACAAACTGATGGTTACATGAGAGTTGAATATTACACAATGCTTTTATGAAATATGTTCCTCCTCTTATGTAATCTAGATAATTTTATCACTACTGTGAATTCCCCTAAGCAATTTCTATCTATAGTTATACCACAGTTTTTTCACTCATCTTTAAAATATATAGTAGCTGCAAATTTTGTATAATGACATATCACTTTTAAAGAAGAGATGAGAGATTATCTTAGTAATTGTGGAGATTGCCATCTACACTGGAATCTTAGGATTATTTTTCTTTTTTGTCCTTCTAAGTTGTTATAAGTCATTCATATTCTTATTTTTCCTTTGTCTTAGGCAGGGGATATATATATATATGTGTGTGTATATATAGATATATGTGTATATATATATCTTTGTACTATGTCATCTCTTGTTTTTTCTGTGTTTGTCCTACTTGCCATAAGGAAATAACATTTATTTATTTCCTCAGCAATATCCATTTTCTCCATCAATGTTTTCCTTTCATTCTGCTTCTTAGCCTATTGCCAAGTTGGCTCTGTACACATTTTCAACTTATTACTTCTATAACCTCTGAAAACTTATTTGTTGATGATTGCTATCAGCTCATTAAACTGAACAAAGCACACAATATCAGCCTGTTACTTAAAACTGAACTCAGCTGTTTTAATATTCATCAAATTTGTCTGCATCACAGATTGGGAAAGAACAAGATGTATAATCCCAGTGTGGTAAATCAAACAGTACACATTCATACATGTTAAATAAACTCAGTTTATCAACAGTACAGAGCTCTCGGAATATAGAAAGACATAGAAGCAGCCTATCTGCTATCATTCTCTGTAATTGTAAATATTTATTTGTTTAAGTGCAAAGTTTACTTTAGCCATGTGATTTTTCTCTTCTGTACTCCCTAAACTTTTTTAATCATAGCAAATATTTGGACTAATAATAGACAGCATTTAAATTTTGATGGAATTAATCACACATTTTATTCATTTCCCAGGTCTATCCAATATCCTTCAATCTGAAATTATTTAGAAGTGGGCAATACAAATCTGCTTCATCTCTTTATGCTTTGAAGTGTTCATTTTAATTGAAACATATGAAAAATACACAGGTTTTGGTGAGTGATAGATTTTGGGCCCTTAGTATAAAATAAGATATTGCACAGTTCGGTGTGTTTCATGTGAACAGTAATTTTATAATTATGAAAGTCTTCATAACTTAGCTCCTTCTGCCTATCCAACTTTTATCTAACACTATTTGCCTTCCCTGTCTGTTCCACTAGTGATGGCAATTTCCATTGCTGGTTACCATAGTTCTTCTGGAAAGAGCTATGCCCCTTCCTTCTTGCTGTCACAATGTATGGAGGATATTCTGTAAATGAATCTCCAAAGGTGCCATCTTGTCCTTCCGATCATCCCTGAAATTAAACTATAGTAAATTGCCTATTAATAAGGACTAGACAGATGACCTAATTACAAGCTCCTTCATATTTACATAATGTTAAAAAATCTCTAATTAATAAAACCCTTAATACTGTACATGAGCCTGTAAATTATACACTTAGTTGATTTGTGTATCCTGGTGTTCCTACTGACAATGTCCTTCTATCCCTGCTTGTTTTGTGTGTCTAGGTGTGACACTATGCCTGTATTTAGCTGTGAGCTATCTGGGGCATGGACCATTTTATACTACATACCTAGCACAATTTATTCTGTAGTTCTCTATATTTGATATACAGAAAAGTTAAGTCAGGGAATTAACATATAGTCCATTGGTGCAAACTCAAGCAGGCTATCTGACTGCGTTCATGAAAAAAATGGAATTTTTTGCATTAAATGTCATTGTAGAAGATGTAATGGCAGTGTTTACTTTGCCAGGAAAATATGATCCCAAGCAATGAAACTTCAGGAAGTAAAACAGAGAATATTGTTTACGAATCCTAAATTTGCTTGCTGTAGTACAGACAACAGAAAAAATATTAATACATCTGTACATCATAAGTTAAAAATATTTACACTTAAAAACTCTAGCACATTTTAAAATAATATAGACTATAGAAATTATTTGCAACTACATTTTTAATACTCTAAATTTGTGTAACATGCAGTACTGCACCACAACCACATACCCCCTTTGATTTCTATCTTCAAGTAACAGTCCACACATACATTTACAAAGGGATATGTATCTACTCTGTCAGTCCTCCCCAAAACTCATCCTGATGCTCAGCATTTTCGCTATGTTAAAATGGAGTTTGGTTAGTGGACTCTCTGATAACAAGGACATTTTTGCCTTCTGGACAGTTTTTTGGGGGGTCAAGAGGGAACTGATTCAATTGTTAAGTATTCCATGAAATCTTGCCTAGAACTTTTAAGATTTATGGTAGCATTCATCTTTGTGACATCTCATGCAGGATTGCACATCTCCATTGTACTAGGCTTTCAATCTCTGTACTCCCAGACTGATTTTCTTTCAGTTTTCTGGTAATATTTCCTGGCTTAGTCAGTTAATCACCTATATAGTGGACAGGTCAGTCCATACATATATTATATATTGCCTTTCAAATGTAAACCTCGTTTCTGGGATATGATATTTATTATGTCTGATAACTTGGAGTTGTAAAGCAAAGAATGCCCAGGAACTCAGGGCAGTGCAGAATGCCTGTAAAGCATTTCAAAATCTTGTTCAGATAATGATAGGAAATATCACCATACAATACCTCAATAAAACAGAAAGTACAAAATGGCAAAACTGGCATTAGGCTTTGGATTCCTCTCCCTACACTATGAATTATCTTTGTAGATGGCTTAAGTTTCTCTACTGCCTTTCCATCTTGCAGAGCTATGGTTCATTGTTACAGAACTATCTTCTGGCTCTGTATTTGCTTCCAGATAGGCTTGTTTGCCTTAGACATCAACAAGAAATTTCCTCTTCTTATGTTAGTTATCATTCCATTTCTGAGGAGATGTATTCTTTGATCAAGGGAATTGGTACCTCCCTTTCCTCCAGTCCTTCAGATTTGGGGAATTTTGATCAATGTAAAGGACTGCTGCCAGTTCTGACAATTCTGATATCAGGACCTTTTCCACGTCTGACTGAGAAGTCTAATGATATCTGTTTCTTGCCAATTAAAAAGGTCCCTTCTTAATACAGAAAGATTTGTACAGCTTCAGTCAAGGCACGTCTGGTTCCCATTTCTGCATTCCATCCTCAAAGGGACTAAAATTTAGTGTTATAACATTTGAACCTCTGTGGATTTCATTGCCAGTCTATGCATCACATCACTAGTATTATCCTTTATCTAAGTATTATCCTTTATGAGGGAGACATTCCTTTTCTCTAAAAACAGTAGGAGTGATGCATTATGACTGATCCCCAGTTTTGGTGTTCTTCTCTGATAGGGTACCATGCCAAGCTTCTCCCTCAGTGTAGCTTGCGAATTTCACTTTCATAAGAAAATAAATCTCTCTCTCCTACTGATAGGGAACTCTCTTTATATTCATGTAAATGACTGACCAGTCCAAAGGGTTGTCATTTTTACACAAATATCAAAGAGGAAAATAGGCTGTGCTGAAGCTGAGGTTGAGCCTTTTTCAATAATCAGACCTCTAGCTGTCCTTGGCTTTTCAGAGAACTGTTTCCATTCCCAGTACTTGCTGAGCAGGACCTGAAACTTTGCACGTACCTCTGTGGTTGCACTACATCATTTCAGAGTCATCCAGTGTTAATGTGGGTCACAGTTAGTGAATAACTCCTGTAGATACTGTTTGAGTAAAGGATTCTGAAACCATCTCCAAGTAAATCTGAATATTCTTGTTCAGTATAACTGGCTGTGAATGTCCATATGGATTGCTTCTGAAAATTGAAAGGTTAGAAATTGTTTTGAGATATATATTTCATAGTATGTTCTCTTACTGACATCTTTCTCCTCTACATTAGACTGTTGGTATATCTGATGTGCTGGATGTAAATGACATTGGGCATACCTCCTGTGTCCATGTGCTAAGTATGAGGAAAGATGAAAAGTGAGCATCCCTGTTTTGGACATAACAAAGAGTTTTCAGGCTCAATTGATCATATATACACCTACTGTGTGCTCACATCCCATCTCAAGATCTCTGCTTGTTTCTAAATATCCTGCCTTTGCATCTCTGTAACACTGGTGCATTCTGATACAGCTCAAAATAATGAATTTCTATGTTAGAGTAAAAATACTTTTTTCTCTTGAAAGTCTTTCCACCATAGCAAGAATGACACTGATGCACTTGGGTAGAAATGTGGCAAAAACAAATAATTCAACCAGTAAACCCTTTAACAGCTGCCCAAAAATCAGAAACACTCAAAAGCTAACTTATTATCCAAAAGAAGAAGATGAGCCAGAGATTCAGTGGTTGATTAGTGATTTAACTAATACTATTATTTGGAATGCATTCTCTTCAGAGTCTTCAATAACAGTTAACAGTATCAAATACTAAGAAAGGTAGCTTTTTAAGAGAGGTAGTTTGTTTTCAGAACTGTAAATTTTATTTGACCGAAATTCCCACTGGCTTCACAAACAATTTTGCATCACAGAAATCTGCAAAATCAGGTTCACAGACCTCTAAGGCAGGATTTAAATGATCTAAACATAGACATATAATGCTGTTTGAGATGCCTTAGGGCATTCAAGACATCTGCATGGGGCAGATATAACACAGCTGAAATGGAACATCACCTGGAACATCAACTGGAGGCCAGGTGGGATATCCCAGGGTATCTCTCACTGTGCAACTGAATTGAACCCCTAGGGCATGATCCAATTTTAGATTGAAACACCTAAGCTTAGATGTCTACATGTAAGTCTGCTGTATGTGCTGAACAGCTCTTTATGTTCCACTAGCTGTACTGACTAGATCTTTGCTGACTATAATAAGAGCCTGGATATCTAACTCAAATGCAGGTTCTTAATCAGGAGTTGTATTACAACCCTACTGTATTTTCTTACATAGTTATTAATATTTATAATGGAACTGACAGCATCTATGTTGCTATCCTAGATAAAGGAATTATTTTAGAGTGGTATTTGTTCTTGTTCATTCAATGTTTTTTAAATGCAGCCAAATAGAGTGAAAAAAATGCTCCCTTTCTAAATGTACTATTTTCAAAAGTATTCTTTGGCATTTTGGATTTGTATTTTAAATGTCACTTTTTTTTTTTCTAGACAGAGAAAGGGAGTGCACTGCATGAAGCAGCCCTATTTGGAAAGGTGGAGGTAGTACGCATTTTGCTTGAAACAGGTAAATCTAACTTCCAGGAAACACTGAACAAATATTCTTAACGTTGCTGATCTGTTATTTGCCTCCTCAATTTTTGGTTATATAAATTACTATCTTTTTCAGCTTTTGCAAATCTAATCACATGTAGCTCTGCTTAAAATAGTGTTCTTCTAGAATAAATTACTATACACAAAGAGAACAAAAGGAATATTTTCACTTATGACTGAGAAATTTCATATATGACTTAGTGTATGGCAAGCTCCATACAAATTTGAGAATAAAATGGCTACATAAAATTTTGTTATTCACACTGAAAGACAGCAAACAATATTTAGGTTCAGCATAGAAAAAAATACATTATTCATCCCCCTTTTTTTTTTTTCTTTCATTCTTTGGAGCCTGTGGTGGTCTATGTGACCTCCAGGTTATACAGCAGTCTCCTGTTGCTCTGCCTGAATTGGCCTATGCTGCCTGTGGGCTTTGTTCCCCAAAGTGTTTTGTAACTCCTGTGAAGGAAAGGTTTAATTATATGTCATCACTCAGAAGTGACAGTGTCACTACATTATGGAGATTCCATAAATTCTAACTTTTCATTTCCTATTTTCCAAACATGAATTTTTAGTTGTTCCCCCATGTATTAAAAAGAAGTGAGATACCACTGTGCAGTTCTAGCTTTTTATTAAGCAAGATTTGTGGGATTTAATTTCCATTAAAAAAAAAGCAGTATACCTATGTACCAGTGCCTAGTTCTCCTGCTCCACTTCCATCAGCTATCTGACCAAGGTCATCCAAGCTATAGGATGCACTGATTGTATATTCAATCCTTTGGTGCTCTAGTAATATTTCATCTCCCTGCACAACATATTCTTCAGAGCCTGATTATTCTCTCCTCTGTTCTTCTACTCGTGGTAAAAGAGGTATGAGACATGTGGGTTGATGAGTGGGATAAGATGAAGAAACAGTTCAAGGGGAATTTGCTGAAACATGTTTTGAAAAGTAGAGAGAACAATGTGGTGCACACATAGGAGGGGTCACCCAATGGTCCCAATTGGAAGATTTTAGATATTCATACACTGTGATAGTCTTTGGTCAGAACTTTTCTTGTAACTTACCTTTGGTTAGTCAATAGGGGTATGTGTATTCTAAAAGACATATTTATGCATTTAATATACCCCTGTATATTTATGTGCATATTCACCTCTGTTCTGTCTGCATGCGTACCCTGGATGTTCTTGTTCTGAGATTAAACTGACCTAATTTAAATGACTTCCAACACGATATAAACTAAGGCAGAAGTTTATTTTTTTGGTCTACAGGCCAGGAGACTTACCTTCACCTGAGCTATTCTTAACAAACACATCATGCTGCTTACTTGCTGCATTTCCTGAATAAACTTACAGTGGCTATGAAGAAAGGGGAAAGCACCGGGTCTCTGTGAGCTGCATTTTTATTGAAAGGGAACGAGAACAGACATACGGAATCCATCTATAACATAAGAGTTTCAGAATTTTTGCAAGTAAATTATTCATCTAAAAAACTGTCTTAGATAAATGAGAAAATCAATAAGGATATCCAGAAATAACTTCTCTGAGATATGCTTCTGTTTTAGTGGGAGTTCTCACTGATTTTCATTATCAGTGCTTGTAGGTCAGCACAGTGCAAAAGAAGGTATGTCCCATTCACAGCTCCTCATCTGAATCTCAGCTACTGCTTACCTGATCTGAGATCTACTTTCAGAAAATAAAGTCTTTCCAAGATGTTTTCCTGTTTGGAAGAATAAGGAGGAGACAGAAAGGGATCTTCACGTGCCCTCAGAAAGGCAGGGCCCTTTTATACTAATTCACTTAAAAGAGGAAGGAACAGAGAACATCACAGAAAGCTAGGAAGCCTTTAGATCACAGATAACTAATACTTCTCACAGACCAGTATGCATTCTAGCCTCTGTCAGATCACAATTGCACTAGACAGAGGAGTAGAGCCTTCACCCTGAACTCCTTCAACCCCAAACTCTCTGCAATATTCCCCACCTGCTCTCTCTTTGATCTATCAGTCCTCCTTTTCTCTAATTCTGCTTCAGAAAAGACTCAGATGTTATGAATAGCTATTACTAAGGAAACAGAGTTGTAAGTTGGTGTCTCTGGCTTCTGAAAATCAGCTGACACAGTTAATTACATTAGCAGCTTTTTGGCTTTATTTTTCAGTGAGAAAACAAGTACCTCTTTCCCACAAACTAGGGAACCCTTGATCAGGTCAGGAAATAGCAAGAACTGCAGCCATTTCTCATGAGCAGAGAAATCCTTTCATGCATCCAGAATGTCTTTTTACCTCCTGCTTCCTCTGATTTCCTCTATTCAGTTTCCTCAGAAAAATCTCATTGTGTTTGTTAGGACCCTTCCTGCCTCTACCTTTTATGAGCATAGATCTAAAGTTAAAAAACAAACAAACAAAAAACACTTCATTCTTGTTCTATAAGGCAAACATTCCCAAAGTAACCCCTGCTAGCCTCTCAAAAGGAGATTTGAGAAGGATCACGTGCAGCGTTATGTTCTCTCAGACCTTCCCAGGATAAGGCTCTGACTTACTTATGTACGTTTACGTTCACAGTTTGAACCTAACAATTTTGTCAACAGTCTGAACAGTCTGTGTGGAAGCTCTCTGGTTGTTCATATAGCCCTTTTATTACATATGGGTATTTCAGTTTCTTTGGAGTATGAATTTGGAACATGTCACTAAGGTTAATAACTCTTTCAGTATTGCTCCCAACACACATACTGGTACTATACGGTAGATGTGATAAATCCCAAATGAATCAGAGCAGTTTGGGGGGAATTAGAAACTAGGCATGTAAAAAAAAAAATCAGAGAAATTCTTGATTTTATAAAACATTCTTTTTAGCAAGGATGTTTCTTAGGAACAGTCTGTTAAAATAATCCCAAATTTTGTTCAAGAAGCTTTGTATTCCCTTGAGTTACAGAAACCATGTCAGCTTATGAATTTTAGGCTGCCCAAGCTTTGAACAGAAATGGATGTTGTATTTCAACTACAGCACAGCTGTTACTCTGCTACAGTTGTAAAACTGCTTGCATTCCAATTATCAGATAATCAAGTCTGATATACCACATTTATAATCAGAAATATTTGGGGTTAAAAATTTCAGCACCGGTCATTTTCTGTTTCAGGAATTGATACCAACATAAAGGACAGTTTGGGTAGAACAGTTCTAGATATTCTTAAAGAACATCCATCTCAGCAGTCGCTCCAAATTGCTGCTCTGCTTCAAGGTAAGTTATAGTCAATCATACATTTATTAGAGACAAATCAGAATATCATTGGGGAAAATTAAGATATATAGTATTTTCTGCTCTTATAATGTTTCTTTATTCAAAACAGAAGTCTTTTGAATTAAAAGGATATAATTGTTGCTTGCTAGATACACAAAATTGACGGGTTGAACGTCTGTATTTCAGAGATAACCCCTTCCTTTTTCTGACCATAGACATTAGTATGGTGTGTCACTTACACTTACTCTTTGTACATTCTTCCTTATAAAATAACGCGTTGTAATATCTTACTGCAATTCCATTCAGTTATGATGGTGAAAAGATTATGAAAAGATTATGAAAATTTTCAAAATATTTCATTATATCTTTCTCTTTTTCTTTAAATTTCAAAAAAAGGCAATAATTCTTATCATTATACCCAAAATAATGTAATTTTATTGTACATATGTTTGTGTTTCTCATTTCTCATATTAGTTTCACGGTGTAAGACTGATGAAACTCCATTATTTACTTCAACTTTATACTCTAGAGGATGGTGGTAAAGTGGTGAGATAGTGTATGATTCAGTGTTATATTTCATTCCTTCTCTTGTGTGCAATTTCTTATTTTGAAATTTTCAGATGAGTCTTTCATTAGCTATGATTGATGGTATCATTGCTGCATCTCCACCTTTCCTATCCTTAAATCAGCAATCTTAATCAGTTCAGTGCGGTACAACAGATATGCTGGCTAATACTTCAGTCTGCCACACACCTGTATTTCTTGCTTATAGCAGATCACAAGGTGGTCTAATTCAGTTCATTAACTAGCAATATACAACATATATAATATAATAGCTGTTATAATGTGCATTTATGATACTGCATATAATACTATATAACAGAAAAAGATAATAATATTATAATTATATACATACAATATATATATAAATAATTATAATTATATAAGCATAGATTGTCTGTTTCAATGAACTAGCCTCCCAGTGATCCAGATCCTAGAGTCATCTATATCCCAAGTAACTGGAAGAAATGGCATCAAAATTAGGGAGCAAGATATGGGTGAGGACTGCCCCTGTCAGCAGACGAGAGCTCCCAATTTTACTCAGACCAGCTACAGAAATTTCAGCCTTTTTGTCTTCACTGAGCTGCAGTAGGAACATACCACTCTGTAGAGGAAAAGAAGGGTTTGATC